CTGAGCAGTGACAGAGCGAGCCCTGGAAGGACTCATGGCCCACGGGGGCTGCCTGGGCACCGTGCTGTGCATGTCTATTCTTAGCTAACTGTCATAGTGATGGATAGTTGGGCTCATCTTGCTTATGGGGATCAGAGAGGTACCTAGGGTCACATAGTTGTTGAGAGGAGGAACAGGGGTGCAGACAAACACTGGCCCACAGCCCTAATCCTGACCTGGAAATTAAGTCCTTTATGGTAGTTATAACATGCAGAAAGTCCTACGACAGGTAGCATCCAATCCTCCATCCAGCAGACGTTTAGTAAGCACCTACTGTGTACACACAGCATGCCTGGAGGCAGGGGACTGTGGAGGGGAAGTGACCGGTTCTCAGAGTTCAGGCAAATGTGGGTCCCTCTACAGAGGGACTAGCATTTGAGCTGGCCCTTCCCGAGGTGGCAGTCAAGGAGGACACTGTGGTATTAAAAGTATGGCCCTAGGCCAGGGATTTAGCTCAGTGGTTCCGCCACCTGTCTCACAAGCGCAAGGTCCCAAGTTTGATTCCCTGGTACCAAAAGAAATAAAAAGTATGGCCCTGAAGTCCAGTAGACTTGAACGAAAATCCGATGCTATCCAGGTGGCCTTGCATGACCAATTTAACCTCTATGGACCTCAGTTTCTTCCTCTGTAAAATGAGGCCAGTTTTACTGAAGGTCCGAGGATGGCGGAGATGCTTGGACAGTGGTGCGGGTTGTGCACTGCTGCCTCTGAGCTGAGCCCCCACCCCTCTGCAGGTGAACATGCTGGTGCTGGGCAAGCACCTGGGCATCCCCAAGCCCTTCGGGCCGGTCATCAACGGCCGCTGCTGCCTGGAGGAGAGGGTGCGCTCGCTGCTGGAGCCGCTGGGCCTCCACTGCACCTTCATCGACGACTTCACCCCCTACCACCTGCTGCACGGGGAGGTGCACTGCGGCACCAACGTGCGCCGGAAGCCCTTCGACTTCAAGTGGTGGAACATGGTGCCCTGAGCCCTCTGCCGTCGGCCTCTCTGGGTACCGAGCCTCCCAGCACAGGCTCACTGCCTCCTCTCGGGCCCCGCTGGGCCCTCCTGGGCTCCCCAAGTTGGTCCCAGCATTGCAAACTGAGCCCTGCACTGAGAAGCTGCGATAAAGATGTTTTTAATCACTGTACGCGAGGTCACATTCCCGTCACCCATTCGTCCGCTCGTATGTTCCGTTTCCAGCCCCAAAAGTTCCCCCAGGACGGGTCAGAGCCAGCGTTACTGGGCCAGCCTTTCGCTCCCCCACCCCCGAGCCTTTATTCGGCCTGTAAACCTCGAGTGACTGATGTAGTTGGTTCTGAACTTCCTACGGAACCAAACCAGAAGAGAGAAAAGGGAAGGCTGAGCCTCGAGTCCCAGGGCCTCGCCGCTGGGCGAGCACCCTGCATCTGTAATGTGTGCTTTTCAGTGTGTGTTTCATAGCGCAAGATGAGATTGTCTTTAAAAATAGACCAGATCGCAGAGATCGATGAGCAGGAGAATCAAGGCCGCTAGCAGGGAACAAAGTCAGGGGGCCTCAGGCTTCTCAGGAGACCCCACCATGGTGCTGACAAAATAAACCAGAAGCACGTCTGCTGCCAAGCATTTTGGATGAAGGTTACTCAGCCAGTAACCTGTCTCTGCGGTCTTTTTTGGGTGTTGCATTTAGGGGCTCTGGCAGCTCCATAAAGCTGAGACCATCCCTCGGCTCCCGGGAGCCCCAGAGACTCTGTGGTGTCTTTGCCAGCTACAGAGAGCACAGGGGGCTGGCGAGGTTGGGCCAGAGAAGCTTCTGCTCACGCTGCAGAACGAGCTCCTTCGGGCAGGGCGCCCATGACACTCCCTGGCACAGGCCTGGAGGGCTTTATGCTGAGATGAGCCAGCAGAGGCCCAGGTCTGATTCCACTTACAGGATCGTGTGCTGCAGCAGTCACAGAAACAGAAAGCAGAATGCGGGTTCCCAGGCCCTAGGGCGGGAGGAGAGGGGAGTCATGGGACGGCTTCAGAGTTTCAGGTGTGCAAGACAGAAAGGGCTGCAGCGATGGGAATGGACCAGACACTAGTAAACTATGTACTCACTGTAATAAAAGGCGAACCTAATAAACTTGTTAGGTGTTGGGGCTTTTTTAACTAAAATAAAAAAATGAAACCTTTGAAAAAGAGTAAAACCTCCACCCTGCCCACTAAGAATGAATTAAACCTGAGTTAAAAATAAGCCTCTCTGATGAGAACCAGCTGCTGCCTTGCCCAGCATTTGTTTGGCAGAGGGTGCGTGGGTTTCTTGAGGACCACGGGCCACGCACACGTGGGTGTGAGGCCATGGAGCAGCCCACGGGTCTCAGCGGACGGGAGCAGAAGTTCTGCTGGACCCAGGGCCGCGGAAGGACAGGGAGATGAACTGGTAGGTAACCGGCTCCTGCAGTTGTGGGACGTGGCCCAGCCGTCTGGCCACCCGGAGGCAGCGCTGAGGGACCAGGGGACCCCACAGGAGGAAATGCCACCAGCCCCAAAGAGCATGGGGCCGCCCCTGATGGTTCCTGTTGCTAAAATCAAGCAGAGCTGGGGTGTGCAGACTCCCAGACGGACAGAGCTGACAGCCCTGACCAGTGACCTCAGTTCAACCTCATTCCATTTGCAAACCTAAGAAAAACTTGGGTCTTTTTTGATCGTGTTTATGTTAGAAACAAAATTCAATTCCCACCCAGTTGTAAGGAGCCAACCTATGATTACGTCACTTGGGCCTTTTCAACAAAGACTACGAAGGACAGTGTTGTTACGACAAAGCAAATTAATTTTCTCTTTTGTTTCTCTATTCTCCCGATTAACACTTGCCTCTGCATTCTGTCATTGGAACACCAAGCCGTATTCAGCTTGGTGCAGCCCCCTGCACAAGTTGCTTCTCTCTCCAATAAACTCTACATTCGATTTATTGGGGCCCCAGTTTTTACACCATCAAGTGAGAACTCGGTCCCTGTTCCCTGAGCCTCGTGTCCTTCTGTAGTCACCAGAGACTGCAGAGTTCCCTGCTGCTGCCGTAACCCATCACCACAAACCAAGCGGCTTCCCACCACAGAGATGGATCCTCGCACAGTTCTGGAAGCCAGAAGTCCCAAAGCAGTTTCACTGGGTGGAAGCTGAGGGTAGCAGGGCCGTGAGGCTCCACCGGGCAAATCTGTCCCTTGCCTCTTGTGGGTCCCAGTAGCAGCTTTCATGTAGTCTGTGCCCCTCATGTCACATCGCTCCTCCCCTGGGTATAGCAATCTCGTCTACCTGTCCCTTGTGCGGACACCGGTGATGGCATTTGGGGTTCATTCTGGTGGACCTAGAAGGGGCGGCTGACGCCGTATTTATAGCCATCCTTCCTTCTGCAGATGGAATGGGAGAAGAAAAGGCAGCCGGGCGTGGTGGCACACACCTGTGATCCCAGCACTCGGGAGGCTGAGGCAGGAGGATCGCTGTGAGTTCGAGACCAGCCTGGGCTACATAGTGAGTTCCAGGTCAGTCTCAACTACACAGTGAGACCCTGTCTCAAAAAACAACAACAACAACAAGAACAACAACAACAACAAAGCAAGAAAAAGAAAAGGCAGAACAGAGGACGAAAATCGAGGCTTTTGCTGCTATGCTTTAAGAAAACCCAACTTCATAAAATTGAGTTTTGCCCTTCAGAGTTCTGAGTTAAAATGGTTTGGTGATTGTTTTAGGTCTGGCTCCCAGAAACAGACACTGAGGTGGAGACTGGCCCGGAGGAACTGTGGTGGGGGTGGAGGACGTCTCAGGAACACACCTGACGGGGGCGGGGGTCAGGCAGCTGCTCTGGGGTGCAATCACCACACAGTCTTCAGGCAACACTAGGAGGGGCTTGGGGCTGAGAAGCCCCTCGGGGTGGTCCTGGATCCAAAGCAGCAGCCTGGCCTGTGTCTCCAACACAGCTACAGCTGTCCAGGAGGGGCCATGCAGAGAAAGAAATTGCTGAAGAACCTGGGCTTGCCCTGAGCAACCAGGAGCCTAGCTGGCAGCAGCGGGGGCAATGTGTGCCTCCCTTCTGGAGGGGACTTGGTGACCACTGCAGTGCCCTGAAGTGACCCTAGGACTTTGGAGGACCTAAGTGTGGTGAGCCAGTGTCTCTGTGTGGCTGAGGGACAGCAGTCAGGGCCAAGGAGCTCAATGTTGATCGATCATAGCCCTGTGGGTTTCTCGATGTGCACGGAGCCCCTGGATTTATCTGGGGAGCAGCAGAGAGGTCATCGCTTCTTAAGAGCTTGGGCAGCACCCTCTATTACCCAGGGCTCTCTCTGGCGGCTGAGGCGGGCGCCCTGTCCTGCCAGCTGTGTCTGGGTAGTCCAGCAGCCTCGCCTCCTCTATCTGCAGAGTGGAGAGGCCCGAGTGTCTTCTCCTGCTGAGTTTGCTGCTTCCGAGACAACCAGAGGGGTTTTAGGGACTTCCTGGCCAGCCCCTGCATCCAAAAGCAACTAAAACAGGGTCAGCTGTGCTCACCACTGAAACTCACCCACCAAAGAGGGGATTTTTCACTACAAATCCCAAACCTAACAAGTTCGATCAACCTCCAGCCCCTGGACTTACACAGGTGACCTGGCAGTGACAGGAAGTGGACAGCCTGCAGAAATGCTCACGTAATCACGGCACAGCTCTGTGCATGACACAGCCAGGAGCAAGGACAACGTGCTGGGTGCGGTGGCGCACACCTGTGATCCCAGCTACTTGGAGGCTGAGGCAGGAGAATGGCAGGTCCAAGCCCAACCTAGGCAGTGTGGTCACTTAGTAAGACCTACCTCAAAACAAAAAATAAAAAGGGGCAGGGATGTAGCTCGGGGTCACAGCATCCTGGGTTTGGTCCTCCACCAAAAAGCACAATAGTTCTTAGAGGAAAAAAAGCAAGGAAAGGAATGCTCTGCAAGCTATGTTTAAAAAAAGGAAAGGCAGGCTGGGGATGTAGCTCAGTAGTTCAGTTAATTCCGTCACCTGCCTTGCAAGCACAAGGACCCGAGTTCAATCCCTGGTACCAAAACAAGGAATGGCTATACACATACATTTGCTTTGTCCTACAGGACATTTAGAAAGACACAAACAGGTGACACCAGCTGCCTTCACAGTAGCTGGGATGGGAAGGGACAGGGAGACTGCATTGGGGCCCCTTTTACTTTTTGTTTTCAGTTTTGAGACAGGGTCTCACTGTGTAGTTGAGACTGCCCTGGAACTCACTATGTAACCCAGGCTGGTCTCGAGCTCACAGCGATCCTCCTGCCTCAGCCTCCCGAGTGCTGAGATTACAGGTGTGCGCCACCATGCCCAGGTGGCCCCTTTTACTTTTGAACTTAGAACCACGTGAATGTGGCACTGATTCAAGTGTGGCCCTAACTCAAATCTAAGACATAAAATGAACGTGGTTTTGAAGTAAGTTGGGTAAGTTCCCTGTGTGGGCACACGAGCTCCTGCTTCCTCCCTTGGCTGACAAATATTCCTGAATGTTTGCGGAGCGGGGTGGGACCTGCGGACCTACGCGTGCCTCATAGAAAGTCAGTCATCTCCCTCACTTCACCAATTCTCCACTTTTCTTGTGGTGAGCACATCAAGGGTGTGCATCAGCAATCCTGAAATGTGCAGGACGGTTTAAGGATTCCTACGTCTGTGTTCCACGGGTTCAGTAGACACAGAGCCGCTGATGAGCTGGGCTCGCAGGGGGCCCCCCATTCCTTCGTTCCCTGGGAAAGGTGCCCCCAACTTGTGTCACAGCTGTGAGCCAGCAGCACGGCACCTTGATCACCTGGGAAGAGGACCACACCTGGGAACGGCCAGGCCTGGAGCTTTGTGGTGTTAATTAACAAGCTCCCCACGCTGATTTTTTTTTTTTTTTTTTTTTTAAACAGGGCTCTTGCAGTGTAGCCTGGGCTGGCCTTGAACTCGTGATCCTCCTGCCTCAGCCTCCCTAGTGCTGATATTCGGGGGCGTGCACCACCACACCTGGCATCACTGATAACCATGATAGCCTTGATAGGCACAGATCCAGCATGTTGCCAAACTCCCCTCATCGATTTCCTGGAAACGCACATCCTAGATCAGAGGCCCTGGAGCCTGCCCGAGCAGCCCCCCTGACCCTGGTCCCCTAGGCCCCCCTGCCGAGTTTTGCCCCTGACAGTTTCCAGCTGAGTCCTCCAGCACCTTGGCTGTCCACGCACCAGCTTCCCAGAGCCCCTTTGGCTCCCACTGAGGACCAGCAACCTAGGTGCTCGGCCTCTGCTGCCAAGGTGACCGGGGTGCAGGCAGGAGAGGCTCACAGGGTTGCGCCCCTAACCCCCATGCCCCACAGCCGCCAGGAAGCCTCAGGGGGGCAGAGCAGTCACACGTGGCAGCGCTGAAGCTACCCAGGGCTTAACAAGGGGGCGGGCTGGAGAGGCCTCAGCCGCATATCAGGGTGGGCAGGGCAGGTGCCAGCCCCGCTGAGGCTCCCAGGCAGAGGGTCCGGCGCAGGCCTGAGCGGGTCAGTGGGGAAGGCGGCACCATGTCATTCCAGAGTGCGGTCCAGCTCTCCCTGGAGAGCCCCACCCGTGCCGTGTGTGTGCTGGGCTCCTGCCTCGTCCTGGACGTCAGCGGGTGAGGGCCGGGGCCTCCACGGGGCTGGCTTGGCGGGGAGCAGGGCTTCACCCACGGGGTCCACTCTGGCTTGTGTCTCTGGAGGTCCCTGAGGCCCTGCCCCTGCCCGGTACACACTGTGTGCCCTAGGAGGGCAAGGGCCTGGGTTTCTGTTCCCTCCGAATGCGACAAGGACAGAACAGCCCTCTAGGAAGACAGGTAAGGGAGCCCTAGTCCCAGGAGCCAGCGTCTCCCCCAGAGTCACCTCACAAACCCCCGGGACCCCATCCTGTCTCTTTCCCCCTGCAGGAGACCTCTGACAATTAAATGGTCCTCCTACGTTGGAGTTGGGAGCTTAGAAGTGGATTGTAGCTTCGGGAACCTCTGGGGCATCGGTGGGACGCGGGGTCTGGCTGGAGCTCACTGGAGGGAGGGCAGGGGCCTTGGAGGGTCGGCTGGCAGAAGGCCGAGTTGGGTCAGGACCCCAAACCTGCCTGGCCTGCAGGCTTCTGCTTGGCTCCATGGGGCCAGGGACCGGCCCGTCCTCCAGGCTGCCCAGGTGGGGCCCTTTGTGCCCTGATGTCCGTCTCCTGCTGGTAAACCAGGTGTGCCCCCAAGAGGTGCGACTCCTTCACGCTCAGCTGCACCCCGAGGGTGCTGGTGGTCCTGAAGAGGGAGGTGACCAGCGGGAGGGACAAAGCTTCCGTCTGGTACCCGCTGTCCGAGCCCATGAGCGCAATGGTGATGATGGTGCTTCCCAGCTCTGTCATGGACGAGGACAAGGTGAGCCTGGGGGGAGGGGAGATGGCGGAGGCACCACCGCCCTCTGCCCCGTGCACCGTCCAGCCAGTCTGGGAACCGTGCGTGCGTCCCGTGCCTGGTGTCACTTACCGCCTGCCACGCTCTGTGTGACGAGGGCTGTGGCGCCCTCTTTCCAGATGGACGGGTGGAGGCACCCAGGAATGCAGTGCAGGACCCCGCGGTGCTGAGCGGGCTTTGGGTCTGGGCCTAGAGATGGGCTCGGAGGCTCAGGAAAAGAGGGTGTGGAAATCGTGATGAAGGTGGAGGTGACCAGTATTAAAAGCACGGTGTATACTGTGAATCGCACTGTGCACCCCATACCCAGGGCAGGCGGTTCCCAGAGAGGCAAGCGTGTGCTTAGCTGAGCTTCGCAGGGACAGGATCAGGCGCTATAATGGGCCCAGCTGGGCCCAGGCCACCTGAAAGCCGCTCTCACCCAGAGCTCAGCCTCTAGCACAGTGGACACAGACGGAGACCCCCGGCCTCAGAGAACGGAACGAGGGGATCACGCACAGGAAGGCGGCCTTCGCTGGTTGCTGGGTCTCCAGTTCCTGAAGGCCTGGTAGTCGGCCCGGGGCTGAAGGGCAGGTCCCTAAAGGACAGAGGAGAGGCTGCCAGCTTCAGCCCCCGCCCCGCCCCTTCCTCTCTAGCGGGCAGTGTGAGCCGGCAGAGACCCTCATGCGGTTTCAGCTGGAGCTCTAGCACCAGACAGGCTGGCTCCTTGGGGAAGCTGTAAACCGAAACGTCCATGAGTTCGGAGAGGCTGCTATATACGCGGTGTCTGGGGTTAAGAAGTCTGAACCTCAGTCACGAATGCCACTGACAGGGTAGGCATGGGTATGGCAAGGTATAAAACCCCTCAGTTCGGGAGGCTGAGGCAGGAGGCTTACAAGTTTGAGCCCAGCTGGAGCAATTTGGAGAGACTTGTCTCAAAAAAAGAGAGGAAAAAAAAGCCAAAACCCCGCATGGCCTGGGGCTGTTCTCCGCCACCGCCCCGTGGGCTCTGGGCCTGTCTCCACAGGTGCTGGTCTCGTACTACTGCCCCTACGATGAGGCGCCCTTGGCCACAGCAGTGCTGTACCTCACAGGCATCGGTGAGCCTCGATTCCGCGTTGGAGGGCTGGGCGGGGTCAAGCGGGGAACTCTGAGGGGCTCTGCCCGAAACCAGATTCCTCCCCGAGGCCCAGAAAGGGCTCCCGGAGCCGCCCCACTGGCCCATTCTCTCCACCTTCCTCCTTGGCTGCTGACCTAATGTTCTGGATGGAGGTAGCCGTCCCTTCACACCTAGCCCTCCTCTGCCCACCTGCTGGTGTCACCAAGTTTTGCTGATGAGAGAAACTGCCACCCTTCCAATCGATTCTGTTACCTCTAAACTTCACCCTCCACCGTTCTCCTTGGGGGACATCTGTGTGTCCTCAAATTCTCCCGTTTCTCCTTGAATCTATTCAAATCCCAGTGCCCGCCACTACCAGTGCCCTTAGCTGGGACTCTACGACTTCCTTGTGAAACTGGTCCCGTCTTGACCCCACCCTGGCATTAGCCGGTACACCTGCTGTCCCCTTGAGCACAGGGAGCCTGAAGCTCCCCTCGCCTTCGGGGGCCTCTCCGGGCCTCATCTCCCAGCTGCCAGGTGAAGTTTGGGGCCTGTGTGGTTCTATGCTTTCCCCGACAGACTTCCCAGGGCCGTCTCTGGCCGGACATCATCCACCGCTGCCTCTGGGTTCTATCTTTTTTTTTTTTTTTTTTTTTT